GCCGGGTCCCCGCCGAGGAGCCGCCGCGCTCTTGGCACCCGCGTGGCGTGGAGTTTCGTGGGGAGCGGGAGGGCTGTGTCTGAAATTAAATTAGAAGCGACAAGAGCGGGGTTTCCGTGGCGCTGGGAGCAGCGGGGCCCGTTGCGCTCTGGGGACGCTGGTTCCAGTCCGCCCGCGCACGCTGGGCCGGGCTTCGTGCAGGTGCTGGTCCATCGCGGCAGGCGCGCGGCGGTGCTGTGCTGGTGCCTTCGTTACTTTCGCCTGAACGGCCGAAAAAAGGAGAAACTTCCACAGATGAAAACCATTCAGTCAGATCCAGCCTGTGCCTGCCACATTCTGAGCGCTGTGCACATTCCTGTAGTTGTATTCATCTGTCACTGAATACAAAAACATCTCTTCCGCGTCTTTTTATATGAATATTTGAAACCAGAGTGCGGTAGAAGAGAGAAAACTCTGATTCACAGAGCTATAAAAATGAGGCGGTGTCAGTCCCTGTCATGTATCATCGAAGAACTTTCTTCCGCCTTGGCGTAGGTGTAAGGTGTCGCACGGGCTCGCGCACTCTCAGCCCTTTGCTTTCACCCCGGGACTGCAATAGCGATGAAAGGGAAAGAAAAAACAACAACAAAAAGATCCTGCAGAGCTGGAATGTGCTACCGGGACACTGCGGGCAGGGGGAAAGGGGGAGAGGCGGCTGCTGCGCCTGCTGCTGCTGGAGATGTTGCCACCGCGCAAATCCCACTTGCGCAGTCCGTTCGGGCGAATCGGACGGAGTTAAGGGTATTCGGAAGCTTTGAGGGGATTTGGAAGTTAGTGGTGGAAACCTTTACGTGCCTTTCCTAGACAGGGTACCCAGGAAGTATTTGCCGTGGAAGGATGCGACTGAACGTGTTGCTCATAGAGCTGACAGACTGCACATGCTTAGCGTGACGCGTATCTGCGGAAGGACACGCGCTTGGTCACACTCAGAAAGCTGAGATCCTTCTCCTTTGAATTTCCTGTGGCTGACAGCAAAGTTAAGAATTTGTGTTTTGGGAATTTTGGACACAGAATGTAAATCACAGTCTGAAAGGACAAGTTTGTACGCTGGGTTTAAGAAATGCTTAAAAAATTATATGCATTTACTATGTGGCCAGTTTCTGCAGAGGTGCTATTAATTTGGAAATTTTAAAGCAGCATTTTGGTTTCATTGATATTATACTTTTATCTAGGATTATTTCCAGACAGCAGATGTGATACAAAGGATTTAAATTGCTTTTAAACACTTGATAAGTACTATCTTATTCCAATACATGTGCTAAACCAAGGTAAATGTTTCTTGTCTCAGGCACACGTGTTGGTCTTCTAGGAACACAGATGTAAAAAATTTAAATACTCCTATGGTGATGCATTAACATGTTTAACATATT